ATATATATGTAATAATGCGATACAATGTCTCCTTTGGTTGGTTTTACTCCACTAAATTTCCTTTCCGCAATTAAAGTTTTCGATGCAGGAATCTTAGATATAACTGTATTTGTCGATCAGACAGATAGTATTATTAACGTAGAGAATACGAGTAATTTGTATGTGAAGAGATTTGTATGTGCGAATGCCACAGCTAATCAATTGTATAATAAATTTACTTTTTTATAATAAATTCACTTTTTATATTTTTTTAGATAGATTACATATTTGTTTTTTCTAAAAGATCGATAATGTATTACTTATCAACTTTTAATATAAAAATCTGTACACAATTTTTTCTTCAATAATATTTCCTCTCCTAATTTCTATTAATTGCGATATATCTCCAGCATTATATATTGCACTTGAGCATAAACATAAAATCAGGATTTAATACAGTTTTTCTTTTATCGAATGTTTAACTGTTCTGCACGAATCGTCTTTTTATTCTTTTCATATGCGGAAAAAGGTCAATGGTGGTGTCAAAGACAATTCTGTTTTCAGAATATTAAGTTGTCTCTTTGCCATAGTAGATAAAGGATCGCAATTAATGTGAGAAAGCAGTGGAAAATGATGATCATAGGTATGTGAGAACCGAAACATTTAAATTACCGATGAATTTGTTAGTTTGATGGACATGACTCGAAGACAAATTCCAAAAATGATGAGACAGATCTGAAATAATGTCTATTTATTCAACTCAATAAACGGAGCTAAAGGTTGTGTTATAATTCGCGACATATCATAACAATAAATTATACAGAATGTCTGGAATTAAGGGGGTATTTCTAGTCTAGAAGCCGAATTTTTATGCTATTTTTGTAAATTAAAAAAAAACTAAAAAAAAATAAGTTATTTTGGAACAAGGATTTCTCTTATATATATATATATATATATATATATATATATATATATATATATATCCATATTTAAAATATGTTTAAAAATTTTTTTATTAAAAAATAATTATTAATAAGCGCGGTATACAAAATTTAATAAAATCATGAAAAAAAGTTGGTCCACGGCTTGCACGATTCCGGTTGTTCTGCTTATCTGAAACAAAAAATCAAAGAGATTCTTAATTAATATGTGTTTAGCTATCGTCAAAATGAAAAAAATATTAAAAATTAAAAAAATGACGTTATTTAGAAAATTAAGTTTCGTTTTTTTCCATTTTTTCATCATTGAAGGGCTGTAAAAATTAAAAAAAACAATATTTCGATTTGATTTTGGTAGAGACTATAGCCACATATATTCTGAAGATGTTTGCATAAGCTTGGCTCAATTGATCAACTGATTTTTGAGATATCATGTGAGCCAATTTGAAAAACATGGTTTCGAGGAAAACGCGTTTAAAGTTTCTTATACTGATAGAGATAATTTTATTTATGATCAATCAGCTAGTCCAGAGCCATATAATGGATCTTCCTCTTGCTCGTAAAAGTTCTGCTGAGCTATTCTCTCTTTCCTGTTTTTATCAACGTCGTTTAACTTTAATCTTAGCTTAACTCACTCTTCGTCTCCTTTTAACTGTTCTTTTTAAAAAAAGACAAAGAATGAGTTAAAGATTAAAGTTAAGCGACGTTGATAGAAACGGCCATTATGCTTTTGTCTCTGGAAAAGTTTTGTGTCTGGGAAAGTTAGTTTAAGACTGTTTCGAATGGATATGAGCTTTGTTCCAAAAATTTATGTACATTTCCGCTTGCTGGCCAATATTCCTTCCCATTACGTTTATAACTTTTAAAATTGCCATAAATCTTTCATTGAAGATAATAATTGTCAAAAGAGTTGCTATTTTAACAACCTTTGTTCTAGAATAAAAATGTTTTGAAGCAAAAGTCCAAATCAATGAATTCAAAAAAATTTTCATCGTTATTTTGTTTCTACTCCTAAATAATGTTCCAGCAATTCACTAACCGAATCTAATCGAAGTATAAATGCCGACACAATGCTATTGTGTGTAATATCGCTCCCTACAAGATGTTATAACCTTGTCAATTTTATGAATGAGGCTAAATCTTCTTACAAATATATTTTCTATATGAAATACTTGCAAAATATGCAAAGAAAAAAATCGATTTTTCCGACTCTCTAGACTAGACTATTCCCTTAATAGCTTTTTCATTAAGCAAATTATAATTAGCTATTTCCAATCCATTTTTAAATCATAATTTCAATTTGTAGCAATCAGTTGTAATCAATTCAATGTGTCAATTAGATGGAAAGAAAGAAATACAGTTTTGGTATCAACATGCATTTAGACAACTAATCTTAAATAAATAATATATGCAAACAGATAAATAATATCAAATATAGATTAGCTGTTTATCAAATAATATCAGATATATTATGGCAAATTATATATATATAATTTTATATAATTTTAACATTTTATACAATTATATACAATTTTGACATTTAAATTATATATATTATATTTTTACATGCACATATAAATATTGGGAATTAAAAAAAAACAATGTTAATTATAAAATAAATTGGAAGTGGAAATTGGGCTACGTTTGTCTACAAATCGTTTGTCAATAACGTCGACATTCCGTTTGCTGACATTCCGTTTGCACACAAAAATTATTGCCAACAGATTGATTACCTATGAGCTCTATTAGCGCACAATAAAAAAATTAAGGGATAAACGCACGTTTGCATACATAATATTATTGCCTACAGTTCAATAGCCTATAAATAAGTTCTACTGTGCACAATAGAAAAAAATTAAGAGACGAACGCACATTTGCACATATAATATTATTGTCAACAGATCGGATTGAACAAAAGAAGGCTGCTCTTCTGAAAATGATCATGCTCCGATTTGATTTAAATTTTGTAAATAGGTTCCACATGGGTTTGCATGGTATTTAAAAAGATTAGATTTAATTCGTGAAAGTTTCTTTTGTTTATAACTTTTTAATTAAGAACGAGCGACGACTAAAATCTTTTGAAGATTATTCAAAGTCGTAACATATGTCTTTAGAAGTTAACATCAAGATCAACTGAAAATCATTTCGAACAGACTGTCTAAAGATAATATTCACTTTTATGAAAAAATACTTAAAATGTGTCTTAATTTTTGAATCGTCAAAAATCCTTTTCGTACTTCTTTTTTATCTAACATGAACTTATTTACAAAATTTGACTTAAATCGGAGCACGGTAATTTTTCGGAAAAATAGCCTTTTTGTGCGCAATAAAACTGGTCGATCTGTAAGCAATATTAATCTAAAAACAATCGATCTGTAAACAATATTATGTGTGTAATGTTATGTGTGCGCAAAGTTGTCGTACGTGCAAACGTACATCTATTTCTTCATTTCTTATTTATACGCAATAAAATTTGTAGACAATCGATGTAGGTAATAATATTATGTGCAAATGTACGTTTATTTCTTAATTTTTTTATTAAAGTTGATAGGCAATCGATCTGTTGGCAATAATTTTTGTGCGCAAACGATGTCGAGAAACGACGCTATTGCCAAATGATTTGCAAAAACAAATGATAAAAATGAGGTCTTTCTAAATAAATTTAGCATTTTCTATACATATTGTGCAAAAAATGTGATTGTTGATTTTTTATATAATATCCTGGTAATGCGATTATCTTCGTTGATGAAAAAGGAATCATTCGTTTTCGAGAACGACATGCGAATCTATAAATAAAACTTTATTCATCTGCGGACCAAACTTAGCCTGGAGACGATCAGATCCAAAGGCATGGACAGAATAGTGCGCCTTCGGATTAAATGTCTTCTTAGACTCGCCAAGGACGTGACTTTGACCCAGATATGAGCGAACTGTGCTAAGTAGTCTGCAGATGCTCATTCATATCGTCTGGATAAAAATTATACCAAAAGAACCTGACAAAAATTAATCTTTTTACTTTCCATTGTGCATCACTCGATTCTACTGATAATAATTAATCTTAATGATAATAAATCTAATAAATGTCCTTTTTTAATTAATTGTATTTAATAAGTTATCCCAAAATTGTGTGCATATTAGATAACTGTTCTTGTGATTATCGTATATAATTATATAGTACACACACGCGCGCGCGCGTACATACGAATATTTGTTTATATGATTCTAAGTTATAAGCGAGCAGATTTTTTTCTCTGCTCGGGAGTGCTTGTAAAATTAATGTGAAAATAAATAACATGATTGCTTTTATTTTTTAAAAACGTAAAACTTCTACAGAATAAAAAAATTAGTAGGAAAAATTAGTAGGAAAAGGTCCATATAATAAAACAATCAAATATAATAATAGAAAAGTCTGAGCGCCATAAAGTTGGGCGTTATTGATATAAAATAAAGTTTAATTATTATTGATTACATAAAATCGCATGGACGTTGGATAATCTACGATATCAATTTAATATTAAATCAATTTGACAAACGTTTCTAAATAATAATACTTATTTAAGAACAAATATTTAAAGATTTGTGGAAATTTTATTTAGTTGAATAATTTTATAATAAAAAAAAAATTATATATATTTCTCGAATTAAAAAATTTCTCTTTTTATATTATTATTATAATATATATTATTATATTATTATATATTATATATTATTTATTTTAAAATAAATGTTTATGTTAAATTATCTAAACATTCTACATCTTTTTCTAAGGAAAAATTAAGAATAAAAAAAAATAAAAATAAAGAAAAATTCGCCTACAAATGTGAATTTATTCAAATGTTGTATGAAATATGAATAATGAAGTGTACTAAGCAACTTGGCATTTTTGTATAATTTTTGAATAATAAGCAAATTGATCAATATTATTCAAGCATATTCTCGAAAAATATAAATTATTTATTAACATAGTTAAACTTTATATATAGAGAAAAAGAATTTAAATTTTTTGAAACTTTATATATTATATATATATATATATATATATATATATATATATATATAATATAGTCTCAAAAAATTTAAATTTTATATATGTATAGTATGATATATATAAATTGTTAACTTAAAAACATAATAGTTTATAATTCATCTTTCACTAAAGAGTCCAATTTTCGCACGCTTCCTAAAAATAGCGGCAGTTTGGTTGGTTTATGTTCAATTGCGAACATAAATGGACGATCTACAATAAACTCCATTGGAGAAATTGCCATTCTTTTTGTCTTCATTTTGGCAGCTGCAATTAATAATTTTTTATATTTAATAGTTTTCTATATTTATTAATATTCGCATAGAGTTTTATTATTCATGAGCAAAACTCAATAGCAAAATTACCTGTTACAATAGCAGCTTCTGTACCTTGTTCATTAACCTCTATAAAAATTTTTTGTAACACATTGCTTACTTTTAGAGGAAATTTTGAGATATGTCTGAAATCACAATCATCCTTGAACATCATATTCAAGCCAATCTGCAAGTAAGAATTTTAGTTTCTATAATTTATGTAAATTTTCCCTTTCGTATCAGTTTAAAACATATTGCTTACCTTTTTTAAAATATCTTTTAAATTAATGGTAATTTCAAATTTAAATTTCGGTAGATATAATTCGAAATCGTCGAAAAATCTGTGTCTATTCACCAATGTTTGCCAATTAAATTTTTTTTCCAGAAACTGCAGTTCCATCTCTCTATCCGGCAATAATATTACCATTACAATGTCTTCATTCTATAATATTGTGTTTTTATTTAATTTTATTCTTGAACATATTCTTTATAAGTAATAATTATTTACCAAGTATGGTATTTCGATGAATTGTGTATTCCAAAGTGGAATTTCACCATAAAAATATGTTGCTTTTGTAAACATTGTTGGAACAAAATATGTTTCTGTTCTTGAAACATAAAATTTACGTTGCTGTGTATTTTCTTCATTAAATGATTTTAGCCATCTACTTTTAAAATGAACAGCATTTAGCAACACAAATTTTGTATCTACACTGATATCATCTATTCACATAAAATATTTGATTATTGAAAATGCTTCATAAAAGCTATCAATTTTTAATAGTTAATCATATACGCGAACAATATACCTGGAGATATTATATTGGATATTTTATTATGTGTCGCTACTTGAACCCATGTATTAATAGTTTCTGCAGCATGTATCTTATCTTCGAAATCTATTTTTGAAATTAAAGATTGAAAAATATTCATGCATGTAGATAAAAAATCTCCCGTTAAATCAACTTCTTTTTGAATATATGCTGCATTTGCTACATGCAATGTGACATTTCTCATATCCTAAAATATATTTCAATATATCATTTCCTAGAAGAATGATGTATTATAATATTTATCATATATAATGTTTTTCACCTTACATTTAACAAAATAATCAGAGCTTTAAATTCATCGTTCAAAAATTCTTTATCACTATAACCAAGAGTAGATCTCAACTCATCCAGTGTAGATCCGCCAGCACCATTAGAAAGTAAGGATAACAACACATGTAAACTCAAAGGAGAAATTATTATATTCTTGTCAGTGTATGCTGATAAAGGCTATAACACAAAATATAAATTATAAATTAGAATTTTCAAAGTATAAACTTGATTGGCATGGAATAAAAAGACATTGATTACATACCATGTATAGTGAATTCGTAAAATCATTACATGCTGTAGATATCTTGTCAAAGGTATTTGACTCATTACTTGATGATGTATTTTCAAAAGACATTGCTAACATATGAAGGACAGCACTATCAATGATAAGCACAAAAAATACTGCAAAGAATATTTTATGAGAAAATAAACAGAGGAAGATATTTCAGATAATGCTAATAATTTATGGCAAAGTAGAACAAATAACTATATATAAAACTATACATAATTGCCATGTTATGAAAACACGTTTTAAGTATTAACATATTATTACCTGTTCTCTTATACATTGTGACAATTGCGATTGTATATATATACGAGTGTAGAAAATAAGAATATTTCAAATAAAATTAAAAAATCATTTATTCAACTTATTATGTACTTGTATAAAGCTCTCTGTGAGCCTTCCTTTATTTTCGGTCGAGTGTTAATGATCAATTATTAAATGACTAGTTATAATATTTCGAGAGAGCTTAACAGTCAAAAAATTGTAAATTAGTATATATATTACTTTAATTAAATTTTAAACCCGAAAATTCTCTTCTTTTAAATTTAGGTTAGATTAGTGCTACTCGCGCCAGCTGTTGAGAGAAAAGACTTTAAAAAAAAAGCACAGAAAGAAATGTATGATTTTAAATTTGAAATTCAAACGATTCTCACGTGATTTTAAAGATAGTTCGAAGATTTGTTTTCAGCAACACATCGGTTTCTAAGTATCTGCAAAAATTTTCAATATATTTCCAGGATTTTCCAAGTGATATTTTGGAATCTTGACATCACCCAACAGCACATTGGATAAATTTGCATAAACACCAGGCTGCGTTCCATTTAATGATCGCGACACTCGTAAACTTAGCGAACAACAAGGATAAGATAATTCTGGGAGCTTTAAGTGGAACGCAGCCAAATGGGCCCGGTGGGCCCGAAGATAATAGAAAAAATGATATTATCGACGGTTAATTATATTGAAGACAATTACAGGAGTTATTCAAATCGTGCGAGTATTTCAGATCATCCAGCTATCGTTTTATCATCGAAAATGTATTAATTTATATACCTGTTTCCAAAAATAACAAAATGAAATTTATTGTATCATATTACTATTTTATTAGAATCGACAATGCAAAGATTTTATTACCTACAGTAGTACACAGCAAGTTTTTTAACAGGTCATATATCACAAGACCGATGGTCTTATGGGACTTAGCGTGATCAGAAAAAAACAAAATGCTACTGTAGGTAACAAAATCTTTACATTGTCGATAATAAAATAACGATTTTATATATAATTTTATATATAATTTATATATAATTTATGTATAATACATAATTTATATATAATATATATTATATATAATTTATATATAATTTATATGTAATTTATATATCATTTATATATAATTTATATATCATTTGTTATTTTTTAAACAGATATATAAAAGATTTATACATTTTCGATAATAAAACAATAGTTGAATGATCTAAAATACTTGTATGATTTAAACAACTCTTATAATTGTCTTCAATATAATCAAAACGGCCGATAATATCATCAATTTTCGATTATCTCCGGGCCCACTGGGCCCACTTGGTGATCATGAAAATTTATTCAGGGCTGTCGATCTTAATCTCATAAGATCATCAATCTTTCACACGGTAGCGTCGCAACGCCAAATACATTAAAAACCTGATTTAAAAAACTGGATCCGAGCATTGAGAATCACTGTTATTGATGCGGCGCTACCAAGTAGCTCTTATCCGGAATTTTACGTCAAATAAACTTTCGATTAAAATATTTCAGAAACTAAAATTGTAATCAAAAATCTAACAGCACTTTTATGATATAATGTGAATACAAGCTTTCGATTGCGACCAATTTGAATAAAATCGGTGCAGTCAATCCCGAGAAATAATAATCGCATGTCAGAATTGTAACATTTTTTTTTTTTCATTTTTCTCCATAATAAAGTTCAGATTCACGTACGTATCTTCGCACGCATACATTCAAAGCGATTTTGTCCCTCAAACGGCGTTCACATTGCATCATATATGATTATCGTTTTGGTGTACGAAAATATTTTAATAGCCAAAATCATTTTTGTACATCCTCACAGCAAGTCGTCTAAAGGCCATCACACATAAAATTCCATAAGGAGTAAGGAAATCGACCAATTGGAAGGGCCAATACTCGACGGTGATTGGTCGATTTCCTTATGCTTACATCTTACACGCTTATGGAATTTTATGTGTAATAGCTATATGATGGCCTTAAAGCCCAACTCACTTTAAGGGTCGACTGGAGATCTCTCACGGAGAGCCGGGAACTATAAATTCGTAAACCCATTATTTTGGCCAAAATATAGAGAATCATATTAAAATTATGATATTCGTAATCAGGAGGATTGTCAAGGATCTGCAAGGTGCCATAGAACGATTTTTTGGATAAAATATCAAAATAAAATTGCTATAAATGTGAGAAATGCGCACCTAGTAGTAGTAGGTGCAGCTAGATACGAGTTCGCGTATTTTATTTATTATAAATTTTTAAGAGCCAAAATTTGGCTCTGTCGCACCAAACATAATTTTATAAGAAATAGAATAAGAATTAGAAAAAAAATTTGTGGAAAAATATCATTTCTTCGAGGAGAAATAATGGGTTCACGAATATTAAATTCGAGAGACGCGCGTCTAATAGCGGGTCAGGTGTAACTAGATACGAGTCTCGCGAATTTTATAAATTTTTAAGAGCCAAAATGCAAAATCTGGATCTGTCGCACCATATATAATTCTATAAGAAATATATTTAAAAAAATTCATGGAAAATATCATTTCTTCCAGGAGAAATAATAGATTTACGAATATTACTAGATTTATATCGAACATACGTCTGGGGAAATTTCCGTGATAACATACTGGCGGTTTGACAAGGAGAGATTATTGCTCTGTCTTTGTCTCTCTCTTGCATTTCATATGTATGTAGTGTCTGTGTTGGTACAAACACTAATATACTGCGTACATAGATAACTATTATTGAAGGATAATGCCAGACAAGAATTGGCTATTATCCTTGTTCCTGCTAGCAACCATAATGATAGTTTTACAAACCAATAATGATATTTTTTTAATTATATCGATATAAACATATACATATATGTATATACTGACACATAAATATTAGTAATATAAAATCATAAATAAGTAACTGTAATGGCATAATGTTCAGTCTATCACCCTATAAACTCAAGTTGAGTCCGTGCACGTCAACAAGTTTTAGTTATATATTTTATTTTAAAAATACATTTTTTTATTATAAATTTAAAAATAATTTTGAAAAATATTGAAAATATTTTTACTTATTTAACATTACATATATATATATATATATATATATATATATATATATATAAGATATAAATAAGACATATATATAAAATATAAATAATAATTATATAATTTTAAATAACAGTTTAATCAGCATATAATTATTTTTAATAATAATATATTTGAATATATAAAATATATAAAAAATATATAAAATATATTAAAAAGTATTCTCTCTGGACAAACCATAAATTTAAAAAGAATATTTAAATTTAAAAATAATATTAATCTTTTTCTTTTTATAGTTGCTATCAATTTATTAAAAAGATACATTAATGTAATTCAAAAAATAAAAAATTTTATCTTTTTTAGATCTTATAGATTTCATGTTACAAATCAAATTATGCATATGCATTTTATGTATTTCGAATGTTTCCGTATAGTTTCCGCTAAGCATTTATAGGTAAAATGAGACATAAATATAAAGCATCTACATAAATATAAAACATCACTAGTAAAAATATTTCATATAAAGAATATTTCTCCTTAGATATAAATAATAAAAAAGTTGTGTTTTTTACATCTATTATATACCTATTTTCTTATTTTTCCTTATTATTTTCCTATATATATATTTTACATTATAACAAGAAAAGAATATTTTTATTTGAAGGTTCAATTTAATTTAACAAAAAATGTTTTACAAAAAGAATATTATATAATTTATTAATAAATACTTAAAAATTAAAAAATTAAAATCAATTTTGAAAAAGATATGTAAATGAGTTTTACATCCCGTAAATGTAAAAAATTTCTTTTTCAAATAAAGATTGTTGTAAAGATAATGATAAAGAGTATATAATTTTAGCTTAAAATTAAGAATATATTATAATATAAAATAAAAGAACTAATCACATAAGATATCAAAAATCACTGTGAGAATTATTATTGTTTTAGTGAATTATTATTGAATTAGAAACATATAAGACTTTGTCTATGCGAATAAAACAGGAATATCCATGCCTTTTTACACAATTTATCTTTATATTAACACATGTTTATTTTTTTTAATTTCTGCTAGAAGAATTAGTTCTAAAAAAAATGCAAATGCAAGAGAAAGTTATCATCAAAAGCTATCTTGTTAAATCTTTTATTGTTCATGAAGAAAGATTATCATTATTTAAATAGGACAGTTTCGTGAAAAATTACAAACAAAAATAATCAAAATTAATCTTAAATAAGTTCCTTATAACTAAATTCTTCATTTAATATTTCAAACGTAAGTTCTTCATTTAATATTTCAAACAATATATTATAGATAATATTAATATTTTGTAAATAAATATTCTTAATTCTCTTCTAGAAATTTAGAATTTCCACTATTAAAATACTTCTCTTAATAAATATTATAAAATATTTATTTCAATAAATATTATAAAATAAAACACAGAAGATGTAGAAATGGTAAAGAATTAAATATATTTAATAAATCGAGTAATTTTCGATAATTATTATTACTAAATAATGACAAATTTACAAGAATTTACGAAATTCAACATTTTTGAAAAATATCTCTTCTATAGGAATGTATATATTACAATTTTTTAGTCTACATTTTGCGCAGCAGCAATTATTTCTCTATTCTTATCACTTTATCACTTATCACTATTCTTATCACTTATCACTATTCTTATTCTTATCACTAAAAAGTAAGAAGAATTTTGAAATTTTTATAAAATAATGAAAAATTGTTAAGTATAATAAATTTTAATTTTTTTCAAGTATTTCAGAGATTACTAACGAGATCTCTTAAAATACATTATGTTTTTAATTTAACAAAGAAATTATAAATAATTATAAAAATTTGCATAAAAATTGAAAATTCGAAGCAATTCTGATGGTGGCAAAATGGTATAAATAGTAATATTTTGGAGCTCTCTTCAAATACTCTGCATGATGAAAAGCTTGAAAGATATATGTATACATATTTGTTATGAGTGGGGGTACCATTCGCAGCAGCGGGCAGTAACGATTCAGTCGTGTTCGCAGTCTTACTCCGGCCAGTTCTAACTGGAGTTACAGAAATGAGAGGAGTTTACGTCGACCGATAAAAGTTTATCACTTAATAAACGCTTAATAAACGCTCCATTTACGAGCAAAGAAAAAAGTGTAAATCTCAACAGGACAATTGAACAGGTAAACAGCTTTAACCAATATTGAATATTCGAGCTCATAGAATTAAAAATTTCTGTCGATTTGTTTCATTATATTTATAAATTTGTAAGTTTTAAATTTTCATTAAAAATTACAAAAGTCGTGATAATATTTTTTAATTTAATTTTTTTAATATTATTCGAAACGTATTTAACAGAAATATAAATAAATATAAATAAGTTCTGGTACTTTGATGAGAATATAAATAGCTGACGTAAAAACAATTGTGTATTTACTCAATCAAAAATCAAAGATAAGAACGACAAATGTAGGAGCAAAATGATATTGAATGACATATTTATAGTGTTGTGTTTATAACGTCATGTTTATATACGAAAGCTATTTTAACGTCCACACACAAGGGCTTTTCTCATAATAACAAATCTTCCATCGTGACACCAAAGTAGAATGACGTCATATACATTATATGTTTGAGAAGAAATTTGAAACGCGGTTACGCCAACGCAATAGTGAATTTTGGAACTCTAGGTATGCAACTTGATTTGAAATCCTTATGCTTAGAGATACAACTTTATTTAAAAGTTGTGTGCAACATCAAGGCTCCATAAATGCGTGTCAACCTACCTAACAATTCAATGCCAACGATAAGTGGCAAAACGTGTAAACGATTTATTTCAATTCATGACGTTATGTACTATGCATCGCGCGTGCATTTAAAGCAGATTTTGCGCTTGTTGATATTTAAGAGCCTAAAAAAACTATTCTAGCAGTATACAAAATTAATAGTTACTTAAAAAAATTTTTTGAAGACTATTATTTTAAGACTATTAGAAATTGAACTTTTTTTTTATATTTAAGATATGTTTTTATTAATGTTTAAATAATATGTATGTGTTGTGTTATTTTTAAATTATATTTTAAATTATATTATATTTTTAAATCTTGGATATTTATTTTTTAATTATATTTTATATCTTGAATATTTACTTTTTTTGTTGAAAACAAACATTTATCATGTATTTAAAAATGCATAGTTTGATTATGTGACATACTGCTTCTCATGTAATTATTTGAAATAAATAAACTCGCTTTTATTAACCAAAATTAAAAAATATAAAATAACAATAATAATAATAAAATAATGTTATTTCAAAATTAGATACTTCAATTTTGATAAAATTTATTTATTTATTCAGAACATTAGAAAAATATTAATTAAAAATATAAATTATTAAGTTTTTAAATTCTATTTAGGTACAATATCTCCAGAAAAAGTTGTTTTTTATTTAAAAAAAAATTAAAGTTATTCTACTAGTCTTATTTTCGAAATAACTATTACATCAACTTTGAAAAAAACGCATTTATAATCCATCATTCCATTCAAAATCTTATAATTCCGTCAATTTTACGACTTTTTTAATAAAATTTGAAAGACAAAAATATTACTTTCACAAAAACTGTGAGAAAAACTTTTAGAAAATACCAAAAAGAAATCGATTTCTTGACTCTAAAGTGAATTGAATTTTCATCGACTTTTTACCTTTGCTTCAAATATAGGGTATCGTTTTTTATTTTTTATAGTAAATAAAAGTTTAGTTCATTTCATTCGTACACCTATATCGGAGGACGTTTAATTCTTCAACTTTGAATCAGCTGGACAATTTTAGATGTGTGCACTTTTCTTTCTGAGTTTCGATAGGAGACAGCTGTCCAGTGATAGAACGCAGTCTCAAAGATGCGGGAGGGTGACTGCGTGCTTCCTGGGGCGAAAAGATCGATAGAATACATGCGCGTCTGGTCGCGTCGCGACGCGCACGAGTTGTCCGAAACGCAATGCAACGCAATCTGCGTTTGCTCTCGAATTTGTGCGCGTAAAAAGGAAGCAAAATCGCTTTCGAAATACATTTTTACGACGAGTGGATGAGATCGCACGAGACGCGTTAATCTTCTTCTTCTTCAAGCTCGACGATATTCCAAAACGTCATAGTCGTCTCTGCGACGGAATTAATATCAACGCGCATACTGACCTAGAATCGCTAAACGGATCGTCATCGTTGCTTCTCCCTCAATAGTCAACAAGCGCGGTGAGTCTTTCTTTCGGTCGAACTGCGGAAATAATATATAGATAGTGATTTGTAATTCAATAATAATCACAAATATATAAAGAAAAAAATATACTCGTCGAACAATGCTATTATGGTGGACGACATTTTCGAGTTTGACTGTGATTCGATTGTGCTGATATTACTTAATCACTATTCCACTTTGACTGACCGATGACGCTAATTACGTTAACACACGATGCTCGTAATACCTATTTATAGGCGTGAAACAACGTTATCCCCACATAATGTTTTCCTGCGCACCGCGATCTGACATTTGACAGACGCTCACGCTTGCATTTACTATATATTTACATCATAAATTTAATAAATTTAATACATCATAAATTTAATAAATTTAATACATAATAAACTTATATTTTATTAATTTATATTTTTTATACTATTAGTAAATTTATTTTTTATTTTAAAACTATATATAAAATAAATTATGAGAGATTAATGAGATATCTGCACAAAGAGAAACATATTGCGAAATTATTATCAAGTATAATTTAAACAAATATCTTAAGGGGAATTTTATTGCATAAATATGCATTTTAATGTTAGATATTTATTATGCGGTAACAGTCTCGCCGTGCATATTTATAACATGCAACCACATGTTAGCCCTGAATTTGTCTATAGTACTCATCTATAGTACTTGTCTATAGTAATGCTATTCTTCTTTCTAATAGTCTGTAGCTATATTTAGGCAGATAAAAGCCAAGCAAATGTTTTATTTTATGAAATCTCGTGTAATACAGATATTCATAAATAAGAATGAATTTACAACAAGCTACATATTTTTTTTTTAATAACTGTATTTTTTTACATCAGTTCCTCTCATTATTTTGTGCATAAAATTATTTAGGCAAAGTAATTAAAAAATAAATATTTTATGAGATATTTCATAGTTTATGTAAAATTATGTCAAAAATTAAAGTGTATAAAATAGTGTACAAAATATTTCGTAAACTATTCATCCTATCCTTATAACTTTTTACGCCAATTATTGCGAGGAATTAATTTCTATAAAAAGTGCGGTTTCATTTAAAAAAACTAAATTGATTTTCATATAACCTTGAAAAATGATCTTAAAAATCAAGATTATATCAACGTTTTCTTTCAAAATCTTATAAATTTTATGTAGAGATCGTTTATTTGTACAACATCAAGTTTCAGAAAAAGCAACTTGCAGCACTTTATAGGAAACATTCCATATATATAACTTTTATAATAAGCGTGAAGCAACATTAATCAATCTTGCAAAGAGATATTCAGATAAATAGCTTCGCTGATGACATTGATAAAATAAATAAATTTATCGTACGCTTAAGATTTTATCATAAAGACTTTTTTGCAAGAAATACAATAAAAATTACTATTAAGACTATTGCTTGATGAAACGAAAGTAACTTTTCTTATAATGTAATGTCGATTAGTAATACGCCAGTAGTAACCCTAGGAAAAAATATGTATAATGAATGAAGACACACAACAGATGAATAAACTCATTTATCGGTTATTCCATATATATAAATCGATTATCTAGCAACAAACGAAAGAAATAGCATATACATTCTTTTAGTAAAAACTAGTTCATCAAGGAAAGTAAAACTATAATTTATAAAAAATCATGAGTAATAAAATATAATTTCAGTTTTATTTTTAATCTTTCTTTTGATTTTATTTTTAATATTTTTCTACAATTTATGTTATTATATAATCGATATTTCTAAGACATCAATTTTAGAGAAAACTTTATCGCACTTTATATAAAACATCCTCTATATATATATATATATATATATATATATATATATATATTTTTTTTTTTTTTTTTTTTTTTTTTAATCAATCTTAATCATACATGGAAGATAATCAACTTCGTTGATGACATTGATAAAGTAAATAAATTGTGTATGTGTTATTTGCCAATTCTTTTTAATTAATAACTGTTACAAAATGGTAATGGACTTTTTTCTTCAATTTTCTGTTCTCTATTCGCTTACGAGTGTTCCAATTTCTAACGAGATTAAACGAGATCAAATCCTGTATTTATATATAAATTATTACTAATCAAGACTATTGTTCGTCGAAATAAAATTATGATTTTTCTTACAATTATCGATTAGTATACCAATAGTAACCCTGAAAAAGAATATGTATAATAAATGTAGAAAATGTATAATGAAAGAATATGTACAATGAATGCAAAATTGCAATCACGATATAAATATTATCTTTGAGCTGTGACAGTTATTGCATATTCGACTAAATGGACGACAAACAACTTTTGTTTTAGCCATCACAATGCAATCGGAGAAGAATGATATCGACACTGAAAAAAATGAGGCTGTCAACAATGAGGTCACGACTTCTGTCGCAAATGAAGTTACGAATTTGAAGATCGAAGACGGTTCAACAAATTCAACGCCAAGTAGTCCCGGTACCGAATCAGGTAGCTTTTTAGCGAACTTCAAAGCATTTTCCAAGTTCGGCGATCCAAAAAGCGATGGTAAATTAATTACATTAAGTCAAAGTGACAAATGGATGAAGCAAGCAAAAGTGATTGATGGAAAAAAAATCACTACTACGGATACGGGAATTTATTTCAAAAAACACAAGTATGTCTTTTAAAAAATTGATGTCATTATGTTTATTATATTTTCATTATATTAGTTAGTTTTATGATTATCTATTGTTCTAAAGTTGTGATTACTATAGCTTAAAATAATGCTTTGCTTATATCATTATACTTTTAATATTTTTGTCATATCAATAGATCCACAAAGCTCGGTATTGAACAGTATAAAACATTTCTGGACGAACTAGCCAAAAATAAGAAAGTGGAATTAACGGAAATAAAAAAAAAGATGGCCAATTGTGGATCACCCGGAGTTACAACTGGCTCCAATTCAGTATGTAAATTTATTTATCTGAAATTAAAATAAAAATGGATAAATAATAACAATAATTTAAAAAGTTAAAAATTAATAGTAAAAAGGTAAAAAAAGGCGCCAAGTTCATGCGAGCAAGTGAAAAACTAAACTATTATAATCTTCACATTTGTTTTAATATATCCTATAAAAATTAATGATATCAAAAAATTGCGCCAACTGAAAATAAAATCTTATATATTATTTTATTGCAAAAATAATATTAAAAAATTGCGTCAACTAAAAATAAAAATCTACAACAATATTTTAACCAGAAAAAGTTATATAAAATAATTGTTTTAATTTTTTATAAAAATAATAATTTTAAAAAGTTGTACTAACTAAATAAAAATTTATATTATAAAATTTATTTTTTTGTTTGCAATATTAAAAGAAAAAATATGTATATCTAATAAATAGCAATATAATATTTATTATAATATATTTAACGTGATTTATAGGCTAGAAAAGCAGCATCGACGGTCGACAGACTAACCGATGTTAGTAAATATACTGGCTCCCATAAGCAACGTTTCGACGAAACCGGGAAAGGTAAAGGCATAGCAGGTCGCAAAGATATATCAGACACATCTGGATATGTTCAAGGCTACCAAAATAAAGATACGTACAAGGCCCACTAGTACTCTTTCGATAATAGATATCTTTAAAGACACACTATTGTTGGTGATTTGGCATATCTCAAAAATTCAGTTGAAATTGAAATATATTAACAATAAGACTATTGCACGGCTTTTGCCAAATCGCTGACAATATGTTTGCAGTAATCGTACTCTTACGATACTTCCACTCTTGATATTTATGTTGCATTTTTTGCGATCGAAATTTTTTGACACATATAACAGGTTTCGATGAGAATATTATTTTTTTTTTAATATAAATGACTTTTTGTTCGATTAACTAAATCTACTTATTCTTTACAATTCATCTATTATTTCAAGATATTTCTTGATTTTTTAGATATTCTGTCTATTCAACTTTGTTGATTACTAAATACGAATAATATTCGTATCTATTTAATATTCGTATATATATTATTTTGTTTGTTTTGAATTTTTTTATTTTTATTTATTTTGTTTGTGGGGTTTTTTTTGGGAGAATCTAGAATATATATAGCTTAATATATATAAAACTACTAATAAGTATTTAGTTTACTTATAAAGTAATACGTAATATATATAATACATTTATAAAATTGTGTCACCTAATTTTGTTTCACAATTAATTAAGAATAAATTCTTTGGAATTTTTGCACAATTTAATAAAGCAAACAAATACAATTAATTTCGATACAAAAATATATTTGCCGTTACAACTATACAACATATATGTATAAGACAAAATTATATGGTATTTATTATATATAAATCTTGCACAAACTTAAATTTTTGTGTTAAGATAATATATATATATGCAATTATGCTATTGTATATAAAAAATATATACATAAATCTCTTTAATTGGAGAACTAGTCATACTTAATTTTCTTAATTATACCTATATATTGATTATCGATTTTATTTATATAAAGAATAATATACTTGTCTTTCGATGAATGTAATAAATATAAGCACGAAAATCGTCTGTTATATAAGATAATATTGATCAAAAATGTTTAAATATATACGCATACATGTAAATGAGGGTAAAACAATATTTAATGTATAATTAGACAAATTATTTTCTACCATATATATGTAAAAAATAATATTTTTCTGCATATTAAATATTAATTAAATGTATTGAAACATCTGTATTGAAGCATCTCGTTTGCTAACGATACATCCACTATACTTATACATATACGAAATGTACGCTGTTAAGTTTGTAGCTCTCCGTTTTAAATAATTCACACACATTAAATGTAATGTCTACATATAACTAAATGAAGTGTACTTACTGTATCTTGAATTACTAATGCATTTGCGCTTATGACACTTACACACATTTGAGACCAAATTTTGTAATCTAAAGGTTTTATACAATTAGATGTTGAAGCATTTAATTGTAGCATGATTGAACTTTGTTTCGCTTATGATTTTCGCATACGAATTACATATATGTATGTAAAAATTACAGTCACAATTTCTTCTCTTTTTTTATCCTTTCTTTATTATAATATTTCCTTTATCCCAATTCATTTGTGTTTTTCTAAACTAGTCTTTCCTGATGCAGCAAACTGCAGGATATTTGCCACATTACACTACTACATGAGAATAAAAAAAATAAAAGATATCATATATTAATACCACAGACAAATATATGTTAAATTACAAATATTAAAAAATTATAAAAATTTTTTTACTTTTGAAATAATAAATAAAAAGGTATTATACCTATATGTTCTTTATTTATTTTACTTTTTTTATTACTTATTATTATATATTTATTATATTGCATATTATTGCATTATATATTATTATTGTACTATATATTTTTATTAATAACAATGTTAATAATAATGTATTATTAATAATGTCTGTAATAAAATAAAAAATAAAAAAACAAATTTTTGATAATTTTGTTTTTTTATTTATATATTATAATATTTATAAGAAAAATTTTTTTTATTTAAGTATATTACTTTACTTTTATCTTTATATAGTTAAGTCCAAAAAGAAGAAGTTAATATTTATTAAGATGATTTTGAGTAATCTTTAAGATGAATTTTGAGTAACCTTTTTTACAAAAAATTTGTCATTGTTCGTCATTGTTTATTAAAAAATTATTAATAAATAAAAATTCACGAAAAACGAAAATTGAAAATGTGAATTAAAAAGTATAATTTTAGATACAATTTATATAGATATTATTATTTAATAATGAATCCCTGGAAAGTCTGTGATATCTAATTTAATGTATTTATTGCATATTATTGCATTATATTATTATTATATATTTATTACATTGCAATAATGTCTATGTAATGAAATAAAAAATAAAAAAACATAAATTTTTGATAATTTTGTTTAATATATATTTATCTTCAAAAAATTAGAAAAATTTTGAAACAATTTAAATTTAAATTTAAACATGTGCCGTTGTTATTAATATTTTCTGTAGCTTATTTAAAGAAAAAATTCCTAAATAGTTTATTTTTATCAATCCTTATAAGAAGATTTGCATTCGCAAAAATTGATGTTAGACATAAAAAGTTATAACCTTTTGAAAAATTTTAAAGGAAAACTCTTTTATGAAATTTTTGCTTTAAATAAAAATTAAAAAATATATATTTTATTAAGTGTTGCTAAAAAAACTTATTTATTTTAGAAGTATTTATTAAAACGAAATTGCGTTATACATGTATTATGAAAATACCACACAGATTTTTGTAATGAAACAGTATTTTTATATAATAATTTATATCTTACTTTAAAATATCTATTAATGAACTTAAAATTATTAATATTCTTTTTTTTTATAAAAAGAACTCGAATCTTTTGACGCAAAATAAGGTCATATTTTATTTTTTGTTCTTAGATTTCCGTCTATTAGACGAAATTTTGTATTATATCAATTTACAATAGCTAGATTGCATCAATTCCACTGTAAAATATTAAAAGATGTTCTTATTTTACCTAATCTTTGTTATTAACTTATCGATATATATAAGTATTAACTATCGATATATATAAGTATTTAATCAATTAATCGAACGATTGCATTCGGCTTCGCTTTTCGTTCGGTATATATAAATATTTAACGAATTAATCGAACGATTGCATTCGGCTTGCCATTTTACTCGCCGCGTTACAGTGAATATCGCGCGAGAGAGGCATGCAACATGCGCGGCGTCGTGCACGATTTCGACCGTCCGCGCGCAGACGAAAAACGGCCAATTTATATCTCGACTTCCGGAGGCGATAGCGATTTCGTTCTTTTTGCATAAAATTCTACACCATTTCGCGGCACTACCGTTTAAATCTCGTCCCGATTGCCCGAGGAGCGGCTGACTTATAGTGAATATCCGAAATGTGCTTCTTGGACAGGGTGTCCGTCAATTATCGACCTTAACGAAATAAAGAAGTAGATTGGCTCAAATTAAGAAGGAATGACTTGTATTGTTTTGGGATTGTCGCAATAATTAATGAAATATTAAATAAAGAAGATCGGTCGATCTGCGTGAGTAGAAGCGCGCGGCGACGAGAGTCGTCTCACTGTAATCCGATACTACGAGCGCGGCGAAGCGGTCGGTGGGTCGCTCCAAGACATGATGGTGGTTTGCGATATATCGCAATACCGCACCGAAAAATGATCCGTCCTTTTAGTGGCGAGAAAATGATGCGCTATCATTTCCACACCACCTTGTAGTAGATAGCATGGTGCGCTTTTTTTATAGTGGTTTCCCCCATAGGCCTATTCCACTCTCAATTTGAAAATTATTCAAAATGCCATTACTATACGCTAAATATATCGTAAATGTAAAAAATTAATGATGACAGTACCTTTACAAAAATTGATCCATGATTTAAAATCCCTCGATAAAATATATTGCACACGTTGATAACTTTCTCTCTCTCTCTCTCTCTCTCTCTCTCTCTCTCTCTCTCTCTCTCTCTCTCTCTCTCTCTCTCTCTCTCTCTCCCCCTCTCCCTCCCCCCCCCCGCTTTTTCGTTCTCTCTTTCTGACAAGACAATTTAATTTTCAATTCTAATATATAAAAGGTCAAAACTTAAAAATTGTATACATTATATATATTTTTTACATATTTAAATTAGTTTATACTGAATGCATATTATTTAGCGACATATAATAAGTCGCGCGATGCAAGCGGCCTTTTATCCTTATTATTCACTGGATATTGAAAAAAAGAAAAAAAAACAAAATGACGTTTGTATCAACTTGTATCATTAAATAAAAATAAGTAATAAGTACCTATTATATTACTCTCTACGTTTTTATTTTATTTTTTCATAAATATATTTTTTATAAATATGTTTATGAAGAGAATCATTTTCAAACATTCTCTGTCATGTAGGTATTTAACCAATAACTTAGATATTTACTATAATATTTAAAATTTCTATATTACTAGTTGTTTCGTCAGGATATGTCAATATAAAAGTAGAAGTATCATTGCAATAGAAAGTTAATTTATTTGACACCATTGTTCATCATAACGGAGTCAATAACATTCGATATAGTTGTTTTTCAAATTAGTCAAGAAACTCGACTTCTGCGACACTCTATGTACGCTAGGGCAAGATGTAAATATTATAAATATTGCTGCGAGGTTAATAATATCATATTTTTCTCATATCCATAGTGAAGATGTCTATGACTACTTTATATCTGAAAAATGTAAAAGTATATATAATTTATAATTATGTAAATATACGTTTCACGTTTAATTCATTAACGAGATGTTGCATTATATATATATATATATATATATATATATATATATATATATTTTATAATTATTATATAAAATACTGATATCAAAAAACAAATTAAATAATTCATTTCAATCAGAATGACACTCTATTAGAATAATTATTTAGTGTATTACTAATATAATACACACATGATTATATACATAAAACCTCGTATGGAGAACGTGATATTTCTAAAACGTGTGAAATTACACTTTATACGATAATTCTTAAATTTTAATTTAAATTCTTAAATTTGTGAAAAATTTTTTGTATTTCTTTTATAATAAACAACGTGTATTTTCAAATTTTATACAAACTATAAACATTGCATAATGTAAGACGTAGCGCGGAATATATGCCTCGCATTATACGAAGGTCTACCGTATATATTTTTATTCGATTTATACAATCGAATAAATATCATGCAATATTTACTTCACAAATCATACAATATATGTATGTCATACAATATTTAAGCTCGTATAATAATAGAACGTGTCGGATGTCTTTCGTATGTTTACAATTAATATTCAAATAAACATTTTAATCAATGTTTTGGCAGCTATATAAATACCAAATATCCTGCGTGATAATAATAATTGACAATAACGTCGATATGTATATCATCGATTGGTATATTACAATTTGTTTCTAATAAATGATTATAATGATAATTTAATCGACGAATTTTGTGCCGGACAATACTACTAAATCGACACGCTTTTACAGCAATTTTCATAAGCTCTAAAAATACTTTTACTTGGCAAGATCCGTAGATACTTTATTAGCGACAAATCGACAAATTACTTTGGAAAAAAGATAGAATGAATTTTTTTGTCCTAAATATAAAAATATGAAAAAACAAATATAACTTATAAAATAACACACCATTTATAATAACATATAACTCAATCGTCTGTCAGAATCTTCATTCAAAACTAGCTTTTAAAATACAATTATATTTTGTGTATTAAATATAATATAAATATATGCATTAAAAGATTGTAAAACATTGATAAAAGCAAGTTGAGAATGATTTAAATCCGCATGCGAATCGTTTAACACATATCTTTGATTATATATTTTCGATAAAAAAAAGAAGTTTTCTTTCTCTCTTTTTTTAACACAGAACATAAATATGATTGAATCAAACTTTCGTGTTGAATTTTCTGAGCAACGCTAAGGATTAAATATCTATATAATAAGTTATTCGAATGTATGTAGTAAAAGTATGTAAAAACCGCGCGTCAAGAGCGCCATCACATCAGAAATGTATTTATGATACAGAGATATTTCAATATTAAAAATATAGTTCCTCTCTTTTCACGATAAGTTGTTGCTACCATTTGATAAGCACAGATGCAGAGTGAAAAACCTCATGTTTAGGTTTTAGGAAAATTTAAATTTAAATAAAGCTTGAGACTGTTTTTTTTTAAATACGATCGTAAATTGCATTATGGATTATAATAAGCGTAAATTATTATTATTATTATTATTATTATTATTATTATTATTATTATTATTATTATTATTATTATTATTATTATTGCGCTTATGAATCAAATCGATTTGTATAGACTTAATTTATTCGAGCATCTTAATCAAGTAACATATTATAATTCTGTAAGAGTATCCACTGACGCTCGAAGGCGAGATCTAGCGATATAATCTTCATGCCCTTTATTAGTTCCAATACCATCGATCCGAGAAAGAATTTCATCTTTCAAGGCTGCAAGTACCTTACGATCTTGTCTATTGTGAGCAGGCACATTTTGAAGAGCTTCCTGAACATCGGACAGGGCATCTTCTAATAAGCCTAAATCCACACGAGCCTTAGCTCTGGCATAGAATGCTTCGTAAGAAATGGAACGGACGCCAAGAGCTTCATCAGCGAGTTCGATAGCTTCGACGCATTCCTGTGAAAAAGAAATGCATTACATCGATGTAAAACTAAGAATAAATTTGAAATTTGAATTCATACAGCACAGCACATTTCAATTACGCTGCAGTAATGTTACAAGTTGCTCTAAGATTGTGTAAATATTGTGTAGGGATTGTGAAAACGTATAACTCAACAACATTTCAAGAAGAAAAAGCAACTTATACAGCATAGAACATTGCAGCAAGATGATAATATTATTGCAATATTGCTGCAATGTTGTTATAATGTTCCATGCTGTGTAGGTAAATCCAAGCAATGTCAAGAAATCTTGTATTATACTAACATTCATCTTGCGTTTACATCGGCTGAGATTTAGAAGAAAATTCAATCGAAGCTGTGTAAAAGTTTGCAGCTGCAGCATCATATGACTTTGCTCTTGTCCTTGGCAATCTTCTTCCGGCGAGGCTGGAAATTTTCTAAGAGCATATGCGTAACGATGCGACGCTTCCTTTAATCTATTCTTCCGATACAAAACGTTGCCGTCTTCTAAAAGCTTATTTAGCAGGATTATTAAAACGTCCGACTTTCCCGCCGCCATAGCCCATGTGGCAGGACCCAGTTTAGCGCCACGACGCAGAAAACATTGGACCACCGGTATATTACGACATCCAATAGCACGGTCCAAAGGTCGCATGCCGTGAAGATCGACGTGTTCTACCGCGGCTCCCTTTTCGAGTAACAACTGTACCAATTTTGGATTACCCTGTATATAATTTTGTGAATATTAGAGATCGCGATACACGTGATAATGATATATTTGCATATAAATAAAATAGACTCTACCTGAAATGCGGCCAAATCCAAAGGAGTCCTACCAGTATTGTCATTCGTACTAACATTGGCGCCACGATCAAGCAACATCTGTACGATGATTACGCGTCCTCTAAGGCAAGCCCAACCGAGAGCAGTAAGTCCTTCCTTGTCTTTTGTTTCTAAAATCGATCCTTTATCGAGGAACAATTCGATAAGATTGGTGTGACCTTCGGAAGCAGCCAGCATTAACGCGGTGCGACCATCAGGATCGCGTTGTTCCAGAAGCGATATAGCTTCGTCCAATATTGCGTCCGTGCTAATGGATAGATCTCCTGAAGAATAATAATTTAACAATTATAAAGCCAATCTCTTTCGGATAGTAAGTACGTTGAATAATTTCAATCACAAGTTATACTATAAAAAGAAAAAAGCAAACCTTGTAAAAGTCGTTCAGCAGTACCCCAATGTCCTTCCTTGGCGGCGAGCATGAGAGGGGAAAGGCCTTTCGCATTTACAGCAGTAGGATTAGCACCGCGGGCCAAAAGTGCGGAAACTGTTGCAGTCGAGCCATTCGCAGCGGCGATCGTTAAAGCGGTTTCACCTATCAATGTATCGGGACGATCTACAATCACTTCAGCCATGTCTAAAAGATATTCCACAACAGCTTCGTGGCCTTGCGAAGCAGCTGCAACAACGGCTTGTTGGGCAGCTTCTTCTCTGCCTATTTCTGACGCCCCGCTTTCCGATTTATTCTCACCGGCTGGTAAGATCCAATCGCAAGCAAGAAGATACCCAACCACGGACAATCTTCCGTGCCTCGCCGCGTGTACTAGAGGACATTGGCCAGCCATATCCGCGTGTCCTAACAAGGCTCCAGCGGCAGCCAATCTATCAAGTACATTACAATAAGCAATTGCACTGCATTGTTCTGAAGACTTATAAAAACTTTACCTTCTCACAACGTCACAGTGTCCTCGGGCAGCTGCCAGCGATAACGCGGTACAGCCTTGACTATTAGTCAGTTCGACATCGGCACCAAATTCGAGAAGAAGGGATACCATCTCGACAAAACCCTCGTGCGCGTACATACATAAAACCGGTGCGTTACCCAAATACTCAGTTATATGATTCGGCGATGCACCTGCCAGCAGGAGCAACCGCGACACCTTCACATTTGGACTGTAGATATTCCGAAGCGTGCATAACGCTGAAGAGATGCATTCGGTCGACAAAGTCAGCCAGATAGCCTGAAGATAGATGAATGGGGCTTGGTTAAGTTTTTACACAGTAAAAAATTTTGTGTTAAATTTCACATGTCCCAATTTATCCACTCTAATTTTAATGTCAATTTAACAGAAGGCAAGTATGTAAATAAATAACACAAGTAATATGTTTAAAAATTAACACAAAGGTATAACTTAAACTTTATCTGGAAATAAAGTTTATGTTAAATTAACATATTTATAATGTTAAATTTAATTAAAAGAAAATGTTATTTTTATATTTTTATGATAAATAACAGAAGAGATATGTCGATTTAACATATGGAAACTTTTATAGAGAGAAAAATAACACAATTTATCTGTTCATTTTAACATATAACATATTTCATCAAAAATTCGTGCATTTACATATTAATTGTGTTGTTTTAACTCTTAGAAACGGTGAATATTAACTCAACGCAGAAATGTCAAAATAACACAACGATAATATGTTACGTTAACATAAGAGTATGTGTAAAATTTAAACACAAAAATTTTTACACGAAAAAATTTTAACAGAAATACAAAATGTTTTTTTACCGTATAGGTACGTTACATCATGTTAATTATATGCCTACTTGTATATATACATATCTACCTGCTTATACATACTTGTATACCTACTTGTAAATCGCGCGAAGGCCAACATGGAGCTACACCTCTATAAACGTGCGCTTTTAATACGTGATGACCTAATTCCAAGGTTTTATCACCATCTAATGGCGCTTGAAGGCGGGATAGTCTGAACGCTATCGCCGCGTGGCCGAGTCTATAGTCACACAGGAACTTTGTCGATTCCCCTTCATCCCTTCTCATCAACCATTCCCTGAACGACGGATGGAAGAACATGTAGGTATCATCTAGACGTTTCACGAGAAAACCAGAGAGCATCTGATAAAAAAAAATATTATTACATTAAATAAGCGGGCGAATACATGTTGCGACTTGCATAAAATTTACATTACTCTATACAATTTAAAAGTATAAATAACTGTTAAACGAATCAACAAGTAATCGTAGAAGAACGTTTTGCAACTGAACAAAATAATTATTTTTTTTATTTATTTCATATATATATATTTAATGATCGATTTTTAAATATTTTTTATTATTAGATTACTGTAAAACCTATATGATTTACATGACATCATTGGAAAAAGACAGAGAGAAAATAGACTTAAATCATATTGATTAAAAAAAAATAAAGTGTATAAATATTATATAATGTATTTAAAATATAAACACTTGCCTTGAATCTCTGTAAAAAGTCTTCCCATGAGATAAAATGATCTATATTTAAAGAATTTACGGAATAGAAAATTTCAAGTAAGGTCAGTGGATACAGAGCTGCCAAACAGACAGCCAGAAGAGGTTGCACTTTATCGAACGAAGCTACCGTAGGAAATCTCAGATTAAAATGCAACTGAAAGATCTGCGCGAGAGAGACCGGTAGTACCTAAGGGATAAAATAGCGTTATTCGTCATTTTTTTTGCTACCTTTTCATGATATAATCAAGAAACAAAACAATTGATATAATTTACGATTATATTCTGATTATAATTAAAAATATCCTCGTATGTTTACCTTATAACTTGCAGATTTAGCGACTAAATGGCCGCTCTCGATAAGATCGAGCGACAGTTTGGCGAAGAGGAAGCTGCCTTTAGCTAGAGCAAGCAGATGCGAAGCAAATCTCGTTTGATTCGCGCTGCACGATGATTCCGTCTTGCCATTCACTGACGCAGTCACGTTCGCCTGTATGGAGGGACTCTGTGCGAGTCTGTAACCGACATAATCGGACAAATCTTTTGCGATACTATTACCAATCGCATCATTCGCAGTCTTATCTAACGAAATTCTCGTGTATGGCAGTTGCTTCGCACAATCCAACAACTGCGTCCTGACTGTGCAAACAATCTTCAACCAACTGGGAATGTTAGGTGCATGTCTCGTCAGAAAAGAAGCTATAGTATCGCCTCTATCTGGCCTGTGGTATTCCGCTTCACAAACGGCGTCAATTAATATTACCTAAAAATAAGATGTATCGATGTTTACGATATAATAAAATGTTTTACTAAGTAATTATCAACGAAGAAACAATTTCAATTTCAAAATGATATGTTGATTCGGCTTTTTACCTACCATATTCGAGACTGGTAGTCTATTGGTTTTCTTCAAGGTGGAAAGCGGTTCGATAATACCCCTCGAGAGTGCGAGATCCGGATCAACGGTACATTCCCTTTGCGATAACGAGCCTTGAAGGTGAGGCTCGGACAATAGATATTCTCTATACGAGATCAATTGAGGAGCCTGGCAAAGTTGCGCCGCTAGTGAATGAATTAAATCCGGCACTAGACAGGTACTATTGTTATCGGCTTGACAAAAATGATATGCCACAACGTGTGAAGCTAATTCGCGAACCTGCAATACGTTGTGATCAATTTGTGCTTTTCTTATAAAGATACAAAATTAAAGAAAACGCCCGTAAAATGCTCCTTACTTTTTCGTTGGTATGTCGAATATTAGCTTGAAGAGTTGTGTTACTACTTTGTCTCTCCTTCTCGTCGCATTCCTCACTCATCTCCGAAGATCTATCCAACTGTTCCCTCCTTCTCCCAAAACAACTGTGTTCCACTAGTTGCAGTACAAGCGCAGTCTTTCCTGTGCCCGGCGATCCAGAGATCAGAATGCCGGGACTAGAGCCATTGATCACAGATTCCAATTCGTGTAACAACCATTGCCGTCCGGCGAAGAGCGGATCCTCCTCTAGTAACGGCACTTCGAAGAACAACGGCTTCAGGGTCAATTGCGCTGCATGATGTTGAATGAAACGTACTAGAATTTTAACGCATACGGATCTTTATTACTTGCCGTTCAAGTATTTACATATAAGGAAAAACGATATAGTACATCCTACATTTGTTTAAATCAATATAAAATTTATGATAAACGGATTTTATTAATTTTTGATTAATTGAAGTATTCTAATTGAGATCAAATTTTGGAAAATATTGAAGAAGAAAAACATTTTCTTTCGGATTTCAGTGAAAAAAATTATATAATAACTATAATTAGCAAAAATATAATTTTCTTTTTAATTATGAAATTCAATAAAACAAAAATTTTAACTCAATAAAAATATTGATCAAATATTTAGGATCTTTCTCTATTTTCAAAAAAAGTATATATTCCAAAAAAAACATTAACACTCATTTGCAGCACCCTGATTTTTATCAAACATTATTTCTAACAATGCTTCTTTATTCTATTCCATCTTTGTAATTTTTCTTTTACACGTTTTGTTAGTCTGCTAGAAAAATAATTTAAAAAATGTTACAATAGAGCTTAAAAGGCATATTATATTCCCATGTGGAACATTTTTACATTTTTAAATGAATACATCCTCATATGTATCAAATAGAAAAAACGATTTTGTTATATTTGATACATTTATACCTTCAAAAATACAGCAAGAACATAATAAATATAATGACAATTACTTTTTTATGAAATAAAAAATAATTTTAAAATATTTAATAAATTTTACAACTCTTTTCATTAAAAATTATTGATTTTGTAATTTTTTTATATGTAAAATCATATTTAGAGCAGTTCTATGCGATTTCTTAATTGATTGTATATTGTCATATATCGATTCCCATTTCAATGATTATTCGTAAGTTCATTATATTTAAGTAGAATATTTGTCGGGACATATTATACTATTATATCCTATAAAGAGTGGTTTATTACATTTAGCATCCGCTGAAGCCTTAATGTTGCTAGCTCTCGCTGATCTCCGAGTGCAAGATCGTCTGTTCCTCAACTGACCAAGCTCATCGGCTTGACCTGTCTGCGCGGCATTGGCAGAGTGCCTTCTAGATGCGAGAGGACTCGAACCACTACCATTTGACAGACCAGAAACAGACACCGACATGGACATAGACATCGATGTGGACGCGGATAATGACGTGGAAATGGATGCCAGGCTACCGGCGCTGTCACAGTCTCTGGACTTGGCCTTTCCCTTGGTTTTGGCCTTTGGTTTGACGGGGCATCGCAGCGCTGCTGCGGCTTCTGCTTCACTTGATGTACCCGTTAATGTTGAGACCGGACTCGTGTTCGTTGAGGCCAGTGTCTGCGTTTCGAAGCTAGTCAGACTACTGAATGAAGCTGCCGAGCTGTCGTGTCCTGGGACTGCCGGAGTTCGCGAGGAGGGACATGCGTTTGATTCTGAACTCACATTCGCACGACCGGATCCTAGCAGCAGACCCAATCTCATGTACAGATCCGACTGCGACGATTTCCTGGTTTTCGAAGATAGCGGTTTCACGCAACCGCCCTCGTCATCTACAAGACAGAAAAGCTAGTTATGACTATTATCAGTATAAAAGACGATTCAATCCAGTTCAGGCAGTGTTGATCTAAATGTTTCAAAAATCAATAGGCAAAACCAAAATCACACTCTACCATTCAAGCACATTCAGGCGAACGCTCGGTTATCGCTCGAAGTTCATTTCGAATTGACGTGAACTACAGTTGTGACTATTGTATGTAAAGTTGCACGGCAATTACATTCGTAAACATTTCGCTATATTGATCCATTTTTATTTTTTGCATCTGCCTAAATATATTATTATGTTTTAATATAATGAGCACGCTGCAAAATCTAAAAAGAACAAATGCTACATCCAAGGATTTCAAATAATACGATAATAACAAAAAAACAAATGCTACATCCAAGGATTTCAAATAATGCGATAATACAAATATTTAGTGCTTTAAATATATTACGCATTCTGTCGAATTATTCAGCAATCTTCAATTTTTTATTCTTTTTGGTTAAGGAAAAATTATATAATTTAACATTTTATACATAATTTAACAAGATGATAGAACTTTGGCAAATTGGGATTTCAAATCAGAGTAAATACGAAAATTTAATTTATGACTTAAAAATTACATTATATGATATTATTGAAAATGTGAAGATACATTTATAAAAGATATTATTATCATCTAGTTCGACAAAAGAACCAAGAATTATATGAATTGGAACAAATCTGACAAAAACAATTATAATTTAAAAAAATACAAAATGTGCATATATCATGCTGCTAAAGTGAGGCACTACAAGAGATGTTATCGCGAAAGAGACATATTCGTGCGAGCGAACACTTGTAAAAAATTCGCGCATAATGATTTTTAAGGGTCCATCTATTCTAATAGTATGAAAAATTGATGATTTTTACTAATCCTTAAAAAAAATCTGAAATTAATCTTTTTGACATTTTACATCTGATATTATATTTTAAATCTTGAATATTCAATTTGTTTTAATTAAATACAGGCTCTATCCGTAGCGTGTGAGAAAATGTACAATTCGACAATGTAAAATGCTGCTTCTCATATAATTATATAAAATAAAAAAAATTGATTTAGATTTACTGCGTAGAATATTTATAATATAATATTGAATCTAATTTTAATATAGTGTCATCTTAAAATTAGATATTTCAATTTTGCTGAAAATTATTTATTTCTTGAATGTCATAAAAATATTAATTATTAATTTTCTAAATTCTAATTAAGTTCAGTATTCTCAAAAAAGTGTTCTCTTATTAAGAAAAAAATTGAAATTATTTAGTCGTATAATTCAGTCTATAAAGTTCTTTCAAGACATTTGCCATATCAATTTTGAAAACAGTATTTTAAGAAAAACGCGTTTCAAGTTTTGCAAACTTCAAGATCCTGCACGCCATCCTATTCAGTCTTAACTCTATTAATTTTGTGAATTTTTCAATAAAGTTTGAAAGACAACACTACTCTTAGAAAATATAAAAAAATCAATTTTTTTGATTTTCTAAATTAGATTGGACCCTTAATGTTTCTTTGCATTATTATAATTCACAAACTACAAGCATCTCGAATATGTTTCAACAGCAATACACATGGAATTTGAAAGGATCTCCCTGCCTGCGACTTTGTCTGACGAGCTGATAAGCTGATTTAGCCCGTCGCTAGCTGTGCCTTGACTGCTACTCCACAGAGACTTGATTTTTCCCAGGACAACGCCGGGCCATCTCGCTTTTCCTTCCAAGGACGAAGTCATCCAAGCTGCATGCGCGCGTGTGGGTTTTTATATGAGATTTATAAAGATATACCACGCGACTTCAATCGTTAAATTTTTCCTTCGAGCAAGTATGACATGGAAATTTATATTTTATTAAAAAAAAAAGAAATAAACATACCTGATAACGCGGAAGGGTTGTCATTCGTGATCGGTTCGGGCGAGGATGTTGTACGTCTAGAGGATCTCTGGGCGGCGAAGGAGCTTCTGAGCACTTTCGGGTTAAGAAAGAATCTTTTTCGTTGATTTGGCGGCGTAGGACAACCTACAACATCGATTTTATGTTCTTAATAATAAATATTTCGGATATATAGACATAAAATAGAATTTAGATTATACATCTCAACGTACTTTGTGTCATTTCAAGTTTTTGTTGACCTTGAAAGATAGAAGAATCTGGAAGCTGTGAAACCTTGCTTCTCAAGTTCTTCCCCATCGCTGCCAACGAGACATTTTCTACTCCAGCTCGCTGCTGAAAAATAATAAAGTAATAAATAATTAACAAGATTGATAATTTATTATTGGCAATTTGATGTAGCATGATCAGCAAAAAAATAATTAAATTCATTTATTCTTTTATAGCATCGCTTCTTTCTAGTCATGAATATTATACAATATTAAACGATATCTTTTTTCAATTATGTGCAAATTAACTAACAAAATATATATGACAAATTTTATATTAAAAATATACGAGATATATTAAAAATAAATTTAGTTTGTCTGATTTAAATATCTGTTTAAAATTTGAGCGAGATTTTTTCTGATTGGTTTAAAGTTTATATAATTTTTATATTTATTTCAATTTTTACAAAAAATAATACATTGCAGTAGCTGTCAATCAATTTGACAAAAAAATATTAAAAGATAGATCAAATTTTTATGTATTTTTATATTATTATATTAAGTATTATATTAAGTATTTTAATGTTATATTATATATTAAGAAATATATTAACATACACATACACGCACGCACGCGCATACGCATACGCACGTACACTTATACACACATTTTTATTTTTTACAAGAAATATTCACATTCAATTCTTCCGTCATTAATTAAAAATTATTAATTACAAACATTTTTTCATATGTGATACTTTGCAATTGAAAATTTTAATCGAAAATATACATTAATTAATAATTATAATTTAAAGAATCCCATCGGTTGATTAGCGAAGTGCGTTCTCGAATTACTAGAATACGAACATCGTAAAGGGGTGCACGTTCCCGATGCACTGTCGCGAATGTACGAAACTATCGACGAAATATACATTGCGAAATATACATTGTTGCAATTATCAGAGATACATGATTCACGTATTCGAGATATCGGCATCGCGTAAACCTCGGTTGGAAAATCGAGAACAAAGCTGTATTTTCGAAAGCCCAAATCGTATCACAAGTTGTCGACGATTTCGAACATTGGATTATATTTTAATTTTAATATTTTTTTGTTATACATTTCATAAATGCTGAAAAGTTATCATAAATATTTAAAATGTATACTTTTGTACGAGCTTTGAAAAAAATAAAAGCATAATTCCATTTGGTCGAAAAAATTATAATATTTACAAATATTACATTTTCTTGAAATAATATTTTAGGAAGCAGAAAAAAATTTTTTAAATATCTTTAATTTATTTTTTAATATAGCAGGTCAAACGGAAGGGAAAATCTATCATGTTATTTTTCCTTATCGTTGATAATAGACTTACGTGCATAATCCGCGACGGCAGATTAGCCCTCGTGGTGATTTTGGTGCGTGGTAGCCTGGGGCTGCCGCAGAGAGAATTCACCGTCGATGACTCATCGAGCCAACCGTCTGTGGGCGCGAAAACAGACAGCGGAGTCGCGGAAACAGTGAACTCGTCCCTGAAAGTTGGTTCCTCCAGTCTATCATCGTTGTTGAGATCGTAGCCGTGCAAGCAAAGCGGACAGGCCTCGTTCCGAAACAGGCAGGAGTAGCAACGCTCGTGACCGCAGGAGTCGATCAGACGACGTTTCTTGCCCTTGTCGAACGGCATCTCGCAAGATGGACACGTGGATCCGCCCAGCATCCCCGTTGACTCGACCAATGCTCGTATCTGCGCCAGGTCTACAAAGGATAATTTCACATTTTCTCATTATTAACTTTTTATTATTAATTCAAAGATTGTACACGATTTAATGTGAATAATTTATCGAAATTTCTTATAAATTTAGTGAAGGAGATAGAAAATAATTTGAGGCCTAGAGAAAAATGAAACACCTATGGATAATTCAAAATTTTATTTATACAAGCTTACGTGTCAATATAGTCAATATTTCCTTTCTCGGTTTTTCTTACAGCTCTTAATTTGAAATAGGATCTTAACAAATTCTGAAATAAATTAGAGTCGACTTCCATATCGTTTCTTGAATTAAGCATGAAAATATTTTAGATTCTGAAAGACAATCAAGATTCCCATGTTTCAAGAAAGAAATGATAACAAATATTCTCGAGCAACTTTGCTTGCACATTTCCAAGAAGTATTAAAAAATGAAATTCGACATTAAAAAAAATTGATTTCAGAATTTGTTACGACTTGAACGTGGAAAACCTACTGATTGTTGTACACATAAATTTATGTTAAATAAAATATACGGTCGAAGAAATATTAGATTTTTACGTGTTGCATTTTTCTTTAGACTTCTAAAATGATTATTTTCCATTCCGTATGAAGAAGTAAGTGCAAGAAAGTTATATGAGAGAAACAAGAATATCCTCTTCCGCGAATCAAATCGAATCGAGTCAGTGTGCCACTTTATGAGACCGCTGGTCTTTTGACAGTAGGCCTATCTGTCATGATGAACAACCCGTTCGCAGCTCGATATCTCGGAGAGACACGGTTCGACCAACGACAATGCTCGTTCATCACGAATGCGCAGATAAATTGAATAGAACGCGAATTGGAGAAGCCATATGAAGCGTTCTAGAAAGTAAGGTCAAGAGGGGATTTCTGTGCGCTCGATCGTGTTTATATAGTTTAGTAAGTTCAATGCATATTCTTCTGGATATCCTTCCGGATTTTTTTTTCGTAATCGCTTTGGCTGGCAGAAATGCACATTTTTGCAAAATTTTTTCCAATTTTTTAACATAAATATACATAACGTATAAACATAAATATTTAAGAATCTCATCTGTGCCTCTCTCCGCGAACACACAAAGATCGCGGATAAAGTGCGGCAAATAGGGAAACGGGAAGAGAAAAGGAAGTCGCACGACCCCTTCAAGCCGGTAACTCCGCGTGAGACAGGTGCAACTACGCAACCCGGGTTACCGTAAGCTGGGTCAACGCACTTGAGTCTGGTGCAGAGACCCCGCTTCCACTTGTAAACTCGCGCATCGGTGTCGTTTTCTCCGGACTGGTGAGCTTCACTGACTCATACATACTCCTCGTTTCCAGTCGTATTTCGTGTTTAGTCCAGTCGTGCGTTGATAGACACCAATTGATATCTATTGGATACGATATCATTGAGTGTTATCTGATCTACTCCGTTTAATCTGGGAAAACATGAGAAACTTGGAACTTTCAGGAATTTTTTTATAAAAAAATCAAGGAATTCTCATGGGATTTTATTGAAATTCAGGAAATGTTTTAAAAAATTTTCTTTTCGATTATTTCGCTCTTATATTGTAAACAGACTACTAATCTACTAATAAGTCAAATTGTAAGAATTGTGCTTTTTAGATATATGTATATAAATGAACAGATCCATATTAAACTGGCCCCCACCAACGCCAAATAAAGTTTCATTTATTAAATAATTTAGTGCTAATTATGTGTTAATTTATTGCCATAGTCCAGATTTTGTTGCTTAAAGCGTTTAGCAGAAAATTACGTATGAAGTGAAGGAGGGACATTAGCATAATGAAAAAAATATATAAAATACTCCAATTAAAAAATCAATTACACTAGAAATTGTTGCTTCAAAATCATGTAAAAACATTTTGGGAAAATTGTGTTATTGAATTAAAATCAACATTCCATAAGTATCGCCGAGCGATGCTATTCATTTGTACAAGAGAAAAGTAACTAAAAGAATTTGTTGCTCGCATGTTTTTGGTGTCAAAACAATCTGTAGACATTATACTATCAAAATATGTAAGAGACTGAATTTGTTGCTCGATTTAAACTATTAAAAATCAACACTTTATTGCCACGAGCTCTATATGGCGCGCATTAATATAACATAAATTAACTAAAAGATGGCATACACAATTTTTCCAAAATGTTTTTACATGATTTTGAAGCAACAAAATAACAATAAATTCTAGTGTAATTGGAGCAATTTATATATTTTTTTTATTATGGGGACTAGCTTAATGTCAAGCTGGCCCTCCCCCACTTCAAACGTAATTTTCTGCTAAACGGTTTGAGCAACAAAATTTGGATTACAACAATAAATTATCACATAATTAGCACTAAATTATTTAATAAATAAGACTTTATTTGGCGTTGGTGGGAGTGGGGGGACAGCTTAATATGGGTACTGAACAAAGTTAAGTCAAAAATTAATAAATCTAATACATTTCGAAATTTATAAATTTGACTGCATTAAACAAAGCATTTTAGTCTTTTAAAATATACGATTAATAATTAATTTATGAGTGAACTGAAGATTTGCCATGTAGAATTAAAATTTTTATTTTCATGAATTTTTGTGTATACTGTTACTATAAAATTTTCGTAGAATATTCATTATAAAAAAATTTTTATTTTCATGAATTTTTGTGTATACTGTTGCTATAAAATTTTCGTAGAATATTCATTATAAAAAAATTAGTACAACATTAAATCCAATATTTACGATTTTGAGAATTGTATTCTACACGGCAAATCTTTACTTTAACTCACACAAATTAAATATAAATTTTATATTTTAAAATGTTACAAGCATTTTGCGCAATATCAAATTCATAAATTTTAAAATATATGAAATTTATTAATTTTTGTCGTATCTAATTCGTTTAAAGTTGCTAATTTAATCTTTAACCTTTTTACACAAAAAATACAGAAACATAATAAAAATTGAAAACAAAAATAAAATTGATTTAAATTTAAATATATAATAATTTAAATCGGTTAAGCGACATACAACACAAATTTTGAGATACATCTTTTTATGAATGAACAATATCTGTTTTCGCGACACTATCATAATTTTTTTGGACATAGACTCGAGGGGAAAAAAATCTATTTAATTGCACGAGATTTTGGCGATTAAATTTTCTATTATTCCTTATTAATTGTTATTAACTTTACTTTTTTAATTGCGCTAATGAATCGATGAGATTAAATCTAGATTAAAAAGTAACAAAGCATCGCATTAAATCTCATTCTTGGAAAAGTCATCTAAAGAAGTGATCTTAAATCGTGTATAGAGAAAGTCGCTTCCTTTCGACATCAGTCATTGTTAAAGTGAATCGATTCTTTATGCTGGCGCCGGTGAAACAAGATATCATGACATCGACGATTTTGTAACGATAATTCCGTGCAAATATTTAGCACAAGCAGAACTCTTTGTGCGAAAAATTTTTTGGAGTAATATTTTGTAAAAAAAAAATGAAAATAAAAAACTATATAAAAACCATATTAGATACATTCGAATTTGTTCGTTCGATTCACTCGTGACGACCGATGATATACGATGTGTCCAGTCGACCGACATCGACTGAAGCGAGAACGGGGGCGATTAAAGCCTGTTCGCCAAGTGAGAGAATCGAGCAGAACGACATCCACACCGTGGCCACCTGCTGGTCGACCAACTTCCCCGTCTCCATTTCCATCCTCCGAGCTCTCCCTTTCTCTCCTCCCTCCCTCCCTCCCTCCCTTCCTCTCTTGTTCTCTCTCTCACTCTCTCTCACATCGTTAAGAAATGAAGTCTGAGAACCTATGTCCTCGTAAATTGGATCCCACAGACGATCTGACCCGAATCAGTGCCCAGATTCACTGCCGGAAGCCACTGTTTCTTTCTCATTTTGCCAACAGAAACGATTATTGGCAATTTCAACGTAACTTGAAATTCGTGTCACGTTTTCCTCTCCGTTCATCTCTGACAATTTAATAAATATTATGACTTTTAAATCATTGATGTATTATATTGTAGGTTTTTTTCACACTTATCATGTTTTCGTTCAATAATGCTTTTAAATCAAAAACACACATGTATATATTTTTTGACGTTTAGTAGAAATAAATAATACAATCAAGGTACATGTTGAGAAATCCAAACACCTTCGATAGATTTTGTACAATGGTAAATAAAAACAATAGGGACGCGAATCGAACGTTATTCGCCTGTCGTTTCGGTTTCAGCAAGTCACAAGTCACGTGTATTAATCGTTATTCGGTGCGTTCAGAAGAGTAAGAGAAAGTTACTCCATCGAAGTACTCGCCTACAGTCCTGTCGTATTTAAAATCGATGTCTTCGATATACCGGGAGGCTACGAAATTTCATACTCGGTCACGACATCATAACATATTTCAAAAATCATAAGTGAACACTATAACACTATAATATATTTAAAAAAAAAAAAAAAGAAAAAAAAAATATATATATATATATGTAGAATGTGTAGAATAAATACAGGGTGGCTTATTTTAATCAACCCACTCCAATATCTCAAAATTTAAGTTTTAAGTTTTAGAAGAAAACTTTTTAAATAAAAGTTGCTTGGCTCGAAGGAGCGGAAAATAGAGAATAATATTAGTTTGATTTGTTGGATGTAGATGCCAATGTTATGTAAATGTTAACCTAGCTTTTGTAAATAGAATTATTTTAATTTTTTTATAGAAACCGATTTTTCGCAATATTTAGCATAAAAATTATAAGAGTGAAAAAATGTGAGTGATCAGAAATTATGTGTGAGTGTGAATATAGTTTACGAAATATTTTATATTTTAATTTGACAAAATTTTGTATAAACCATGAAATATCTCCTAAAATATTTATTTTTACGACACACACACATACAGAGTATTTTAGTAAAGGTAAACAATCTTTCATGAGTATGTGAATATGTGTATATATGTCGAATAAATAAAAGTAATTTCATAAATTCTTATCAATTTT